AGGGCCTGCAGCTGAGCGTGCCTGGGAGGGCCTGCTGCGGAGTGTGTCCTGGATGGGGCTGTTTCTGAGTGTGTCCTTGGTGGGGCTGTGGCTTAGTGTCCTTGGTGGGGCTTGGGCTGAGTGTGCCTTTGGGAAGGCCTGCCGCTGAGCTTGTCCTGGGTGGGGCCTTGGCTTAGTGTGTCCCTGGTATCTGTGGGCTGGGGGGCCTAAGTGTGTCCTGGGTGGGTCTGGGGCTGAGTGTGTTTCTGGCCTGGGTGGGACTGGGGCTGTGTGTCACCCTGACCTAGGGAGGCACTGCTGCCTCAGAGCATCACAGCAGAGCACAGGTGGTCTTCATCTTGGGGTCTGTGGAGCTCTCATCTTGGAGAAGGTTTGCCAAAGGGTAATGTATTGTCGTCTGACATTAGGGTTATGGCACATTTGCCTGAGGAGAGGCAGCCTGGGTCCCCTTGGTGGTGCTCCGTGCTCTAGCACCTAGTCTTGATTTCCAGCAGGCTCCGAAGGGGTGGGGGTCTCGTGCTGGGGCCTGTCCTTCCAGCTCCCACTGGTCCCCAGGTCACACTGAGCTGCCAGGCGGAGAGTGCTGTGTGCACGGCAGACATCTGCTCTGCCCTGTGCTCCCTTGCTTCTCTGCAGGGGCCCTGAAGCCCCTTCTTCATGGGCACTACAGCCAGGCTCTGACTTTTCCTAATCTCTGGGTCCCCCTTGTTCTAGCTAGTTGTTTCGACATTGCTGATTTTGTGGTGTTGATTGCTTACTCCATTTTCTAAATTAAAAAAAAAAATGTGACTAACACACATTATTTGTAGAAATGTTAAGAAATAAGGAGGAAATACAATCAGCTCTAACCAGAATTCCACCACCTGAAAGTAGACACCAGGGTTTTAAAAAAATTCTTTTAATTTGTTCTTTTTATACATGATAATAGAGTGCATTTTTGACATACCATACACATGCTATATCCTCCATGGAGTGTGAGTTCCCATTCTTGTGCTGTACATGATGTGGAGTGCCCCTGGTCGTGTGTTTACACGTGAGCATAGGAAAGTGATGTCTGATTCATTCTATTGTCTTTCCCATTCCCTTCTCTTCCTTCCCTTCATTTTCCTTTGTCTAATCCAGTGAACTTCTCTTCTCCCCCCTCCACCTTAGTGTGTGTTAGCATCTGCATATCAGTGAGAACACTCGATATTTGGCCTTTGGTTTTTGGAGTTGGCTTATTTCACTTAGCATGATAGTCTCCAGTTCCATCCATTTACTGGCAAATGCCGTGATTTCATTCTTCTTTATGACTGAGAACATTCTGTTGTGTATGTATACCACGTTTTCTTTATCCATTCATCTTTTGAAGGATACCTAGCCTGGTTTACCTATCGTGAATTGAACTGCTATGACATTGATATGGCGGTGTCACCGTAGTATTTTAAATATTTTCCATATAAACCGAGGAATGGGATAACTGGGTCCAATAGTGGTTTCACTCGAAGTTTTCTGAGGAGTCTCCATACTGCTTTCCAGAGTGGTTGCACCAATTTGCAGTTCCACCAGCAATGTATAAGTGTACCTTTTCCCCACATCCTCGCCAACACTTATCATTGCTTGTATTCTTGATAATTGCCATTCGGACTGGAGTTAGATGGAATCTCAGTGTAGTTTTAATTTACATTTCTCTAACTGCTAGTGATGTTGAACATTTTTTCACATATTTGTTGACCAGTCTTACTACTTCTTCTGTAAAGTACCAGTTCAATTCCTTTGCTCATTTACTGATTGTTTTTTTTTTTTTTACTTATTATATTTTTTCATTTTTTAGTTGTAGTTTGATACAATATCTTTATTTATTTTTATGTGGTGCTAAGGATCAAACTCAGGGCCTCGCCCGTGCTAGGCGAGTGCTCTACTGCTTAGCCACAACCCCAGCCCCCTATTTGTTTTTTTGGTGTTAAGT